TTACCTGGCGTGGTCTCCCAGGTGAATAAATTACATGTCGGGGTTCAGAAGGTGAGAAAATATATATTGGTAATTACAGGGGAAAAAATATTGTTACACACACACACAGAAAGGTAAGAAAGGGAGAGGTTGGGTACAAAATATTTCAGCATTGAGCTTTTCATGTGGGAAGAAAATGTCTCCCCCAGTATGATGTTGTGTGTACCCCGAGAGTCACTTTTATTGACTTCTGATGAATGTTCTTACAATTAAAAGGTAGTTGACGTCTTTGTTGACAAGGGATATTACTTGTCTTTCATATTTTGACATTAACGTATTGGAGATTATTTTTTTTTCATTAAAATATCGTTTACTTTCATAACATAACTAGACTATATTTAAAATGGGCAAAGTTAAGTCAAGTTAGTAGTGACATAATTCGTATTTTATATTATAATTATCTATATGATAATCTATCTCTCTATAAGATCATTTTGTTATAAAAAATCATCACTATCTCTCAATTATCCTTGGTTAACGTAATTTATATAATGTATATATATTCGGTGATATATATACATTATCTAGAGTTACCTCGGTACATGTAGGAAACTAATCATAATATAGTCTGTGTGTGAGGCTTACATATTTGGTTAATTCGTGTCCAGTGCAAACACTATCAATAACAGTATTAATTAGTTATGTACGTTCACTGGTGTGTGTGTGTGTGTGTGTGTGTGTGTGTGTGTGTGTGTCACCCAGTCTGAGTTCTTCCCCATCCAAACGGGGGTTAAATAAGGGTGTGTACTGGCACCAACTCTCTTTTCCATTTTCTTGGCTGCCTTCCTTACTCATGCCAGCACCAATCTAGCAGGTGGGGTGAACATCGAGTACCGGGTGAAGGGTCTTTTCAACATAAGACGAGATCAGGCAGGAACAAAGGTGTCGGCAGCTTCCATTACTGAGCTTCAGTATGCAGACGACCTCACCCTTGTCGCACACACTGAACGCGACCTACAGGAAATTCTGAACACCTACGCAGATGCGTGTGCACACTTCGGCTTTGAGGTGAATGTAAGTACGACTCAAATTCTCTTTCAGACTGCCCCTGGTTCAGCCACACCTCCACCACCCATCCTCCTTAACGGTACTACCCTCTCCAATGTTACCCACTTTCGGTATCTCGGCTCCCACCTGTCCACCAGGTGGGAGCTGAAATTATCTACAAAGTTGCACGTATTTCGAGCAGTGGTCCTCCCCACCCTGCTAAATGGGAGTAAGACATGGGTCACATACAGGAGGCACCTCAAGTCACTTGAAAACTTTCACCAACGTAGTCTACGTTCCATCCTCCGAATTGGCTGGGAAGACAAGATCTTCGTGTATGATGTATGCTGCATGTTGCATGGTGTATGTTGTACATGGTAAGCAGTATATTACAAGTTGTATATGGTGTCAAGACTGAATCTATTAAAGCTTTTCACAAAATTATCCCGAGAACAATACAAAACCGTGAGAAAGTTGAGTTATTTTTTTTTGTCTCCATGAAAACTTTACACTTCCCGTTAATTCCATTTTATCTTCCTGCGGTCTAGTGTCTCTCATTTTCTGTCATGTTTATCAACCTACCAATTTGTTCCTCATATGTCAAATTCAGTTTCTCATTTTGTATCACCTCTTTTGTGCAGAATATCTTTGTGTGTGTGTGTGTGTGTGTGTGTGTGTATGTATGTGTGTGTGTGTGTGTGTGTGTGTGTGTATGTAAATATTAATGCTACAGACGATCAGACAATGTAACAGCATAACGTCAGTCTCACTTCATATACGTCAGTCATCTCCGAGATCTTATACACACACAATCTAACCTTACATACATCGTGTCGACCTTATTCTAACCTCTTCTCGTATTATCTCACCTTCTCCATCACAAACAAGTTCAACTCTGCTCTCTATAACATCCTGAACTTTTCGTCATCACCTGAAACATCGTAAAACTTTTTGTTTGTAGAAAGTTTAATGTCAAGATCTTTTTTGTCTTGCCTAACTACCTACTCACATGTTCTAACGATCTGACACACTCTTGGTAGACGGATTGATTTAATTAACACGTCATTTAATTAATCCTGGAGAGCCTAAGGTTTACTGCTATTGATGACTGATGATATTATTTAGCTTTATCTAGTCCTGATTTATATCCGGAAACCATAAATAAAATACACTTTCCTATATCCCTCAATCACAACAAAGTCTTATTACTCAGATCACAACTGAGCCATTTCATAAGACTTTCACCAGTTATTAATGTCCTTGTAGCTACAGAACACCAAGGGGACATTAACCTGATGATGGTTAATGCTTCAGGAACTCAAAGATTTGTCATGTATTCTCAATGTTACGGTGTTTGATTCCCTCTCACCCCAACCCCACTCCACACCCAACCCCACACCCCCACTCCTCTAAGTTATAACATCTCTCAACCCTCATCAATAACCCACACACACACACACACACACACACACACACACACACACACACACACACACACACACACACACACACACACACACACACACACACACACACACACACACACACACACACACACACACACACACACACACACACACACACACACACACACACACACACACACACACACACACACACACACACACTATAGACCTCAAATACGTATTATAAAATTAGATAAAATATTGTGTTTTTTCTTGTACATTTGTCATTCATCTTAACCAAATGTTGTCTTCTCACAAAACTATTACAAATTTGTTTTTCAATGGAATGATAGTTTGAGTCACATCCTATAAGATAATGTACCAAACACTCATCTCTGTCAAGGAGGTATAATGTTAGGTACCCATTTAGAGCCATGTGGATTACTAGCGCCCGGGGATCGAACCAGCCATCAACTCCTATGCTAGATGGTGAGTGTTACCTCCACTCAGCACGTCTTATCCGTGTTACAACCTGTCACTTATCATTCAATCTCATCCTCTCTTCTTCTCCAAGTCAGTCAGTCAGTCAGTCTCATCTATCATCATTTCACTGATATTCCCACTAACAAAAAAATAAAAAATAAATCATGGTGAGTGCCCATCCACCCATCCATCATGCCGCAACCATGTGTAACTAGACAGGATACTTGCCACTCCAGTACAAATCGCTACTCCAGTGTTCAAAGCCCCGAGTATAGGAACACACTCGTCTAATCACTGGATATCTATCTCTTCACTTACATAGTTTTTGCTATTCCATAAAACACGTTGTATTTTATGTGTGGTTTATGGATATTCGCTGTCGTGTTTAGGTATGCATTTTATATTGTCTTTTTTTTATACCCAAAGTTACGAAACTCTCTCTCTCTCTCTCTCTCTCTCTCTCTCTCTCTCTCTCTCTCATCCCTAGAAGCGACCAGCGACATCTCGGTATAAATGATGAGGTTTCTAACACTCCCCAGCTGGTGTGTCCGATGGTGTGGGGAGATTGTAACACTCCCTGTCTTGTGACCATGGGCGTGGGGGAGCGTGGGGAGCGTGTCCTCGGCAATGGGTTGCTAGGCGTGGCCATCACCCATGTCTCCACACACACACACACACACACACACACACACTATATAGGCTGTAACCTTCACCCTCAGGTATACATCCGTGTCTCTCCCTGTGTGTTGGTGTACTCCAGAGAGAGAGAGAGAGAGAGAGAATGATTACTATATACCGGGTACTTGTATTTATCCAGATATTTGCTCCACATAATTGTATTTCTTAGTTTTGTAACATCGATCGTCTTATTTTTTTCAGCAGCGAACATTTAAGATTATTCTATGAGATGGACGAATTACAGTCACCTCTCTCTCTCTCTCTCTCTCTCTCTCTCTCTCTCTCTCTCTCTCTCCACACAGCTCCTTTCGCCAAGGCAAAAATCTCACCTAACTTAATCCCGTTGTGTAGATAGATTTATACAGAGGGATTTTTTCTCTACTTGGTGAGAGGGATTGATCCAGTACTACTTTGTTTGGTGGTACAGTATTTTGGTTATAAACGGGATTAATAAATATATATTTTTTTTAATATTTCACCAATTATCTTTGTTAGGTTAGGTTAGGTTAGCTAGATACCTATTGGCTGACGTCTCCTTTACAGCATCACCTCCTAATAACCACCACCACCTTTTCTCACCTCCCGTCACCTATCCTGGACCACCGGATTCTGTTAGGCCTATCAGAGTCCACCATCACTCCCCAACTTTCGGGAGGTAAATAAAATAATTCTCCTCAATTAACAATATACTGTATCACAATCACATCGTTGACGCGTCTTGGTAATTAGTGAAACAGAAACGTGTGCAGTATCCCAGAGTCGGCGCGTTGACATTGACATTGACAAAGGCAGAGCTGACTCGTGGATGAGCCAGTCCGCTACAGTGATGAATCTCTGGCTCCTTCCAGGCCCTCGGGGGACCTGGGGAAGATCTCCTGATTGCACTTACCGCCATTACCGTCATTATCGTTAACCTTGGCCCACGGCTCCGTCATGACTTGTAGCTCCGCCTCATTCTACAGTTTAGCGTCACTGTTTTAAGTTACAGAGTGTATTGTCACTAATAGTTTATACTACCCTGTAATATATTCATGAAGGATATGAACGAGTCACAAACAGTGGTTTGTTTACATCGTATACGAAAGGAAGAGTACCGTAAGATATGTTTTCCCGTTATTAAGGCATTCGCGTGGCAGGTGAATTTTAGTTTCCATCTAACCACATGAATTTTTCGTCTTAATTACGTTTCTGAACTAGAGTGCACACACTTCTGTTATCGGATTTTAACCTATTTAAAACATCAGGCACATTTAGTTATCCTAAATTTATAAAAAAGAAAACAGATTATCTTAAACAAATGTGACAGTAATGTGTTCATTGTCCACTATGCGGTACGTCTGGCAGAGGAGTTGTAATGCTGTGGTGGTGGGAGTCGCACGCCACGTGCACCATAGCAGTCCAGCACGTCCCGACCGCGCGTGCACACCTAGCTGACAGGAAGCAAACTCGCCTGTGTCTTGGGACTCTGAATGTCTATCTCTTGAAGACTGCTCAACCTCGATCCTCTTTACTGAAGGACTTACGTCAAGCTATGTCTTGAACAAGGATTTTTAGTGTCAGTGTTTTAAAGGTTGTCAACACGTACAGTATATCAAGATAAGATGTGGTAATGCTGTTTGTCGTCGAGTGCTTTAACGCAGGCAACAAAAAACAACGAAATATTGCTTGGTGACCCCGCAACACTATTCCAAGTGAGTACCCCGTCTTCGCTCTTTAGTTCATAGTATAATCAGAAAAGACACTATGCTAATTTATATAGGATTTATAAATACGGTACACAGTTATAATAAATAGTGTTTCTTTAAGAATAAATGCATATAACAATAATAAAAGAGGTGATGCCGTCGCTTGCTTATAGTTAGTGTGTTGCAATGTTGCAGAGTATAATGTTGCAAAGGAGATGCTCACGCCACAATTTATTGCGAGGCCTCAACGCCACCACAAGTAGCGAGCTGTTGCAAATGATCTCTTGCAAAGACGCACCTAACCCAGGACGTCTCTAAACCTAGCCTAGGCCGCCCCTTCACCTGGCTTAGGACGTGACACATAACATGGTATAAAACGATTAACCTAGCCAGGGATGTCTCGGCCTAGCTCAGAACGACTGCAAAAAAGCAAAAAATGTCTCAACCTAGCCAAAGACGTCAAGCATATCCCAGGAGATCACTTGAGACTAGCCTAGGACGTCAAGTAATTTCAACACATTAAGTCTTCTAACCTAGCCAATGGCATCTGTTATCCTAGCCAAGGGCATCCCCAAATCTAGCCAAAGACATCTTCTGATCTAACCTAGCCTACGATGTCTCCTAACCCACCCAAGCAAGGACTTCTAACCTATTCCAGGACATCTCCAAGCTTACTCTAGAACACCACCTAACCTAACCCCAGACATCTCAACTAAAGCCCATCTCCTAACCAAGCCAGGGACGTTCCATGCCGTTAGCTAGGGCATCTGGTTCAAACTAAACCCTTCCTAACCCATGCAGTCTATAGCTGTTTCAAGCATCTACCTCTAGTGACAATATCATCCATCAAAACCCACATAAATTCAACGAGTATTTACCCACGTTCATTTTGTCTCATTTACGTTCTATTAAATACCAAATCATAGGAGAAATTTATCCCCTAAATCGGAAAGTATCGTCAAACAGTACTTTAATTACTGTTGTCTTATGGATGTGATCAATTATTATGTATTTTCGTATCAATAAATGTTTGTAATTTGTGAGAATAATATTAGTGAATTTGTGTCAGTATCAAGTATTTACATTTTGGGTTTTAATTCTTTAGGGAGAAATGAATAAAACGTTAAGAATAAAAGAGAAAAGGGAATTAGAAAAGAATAAGAAAATGGGGTAAGGGATGATAAAGAAATAGATAGACAGGATAAAAGGTAGAATGAGATTAAATGAATGATAGGTGTGTGAATTAATTGTTATGAGTGTCAATGGTTGTAAGAGTGTGTGGGTTCTTATGAGTGACTTTGGTTGGGATTGTGCGGTTATGAGTGTGTCAGAGGTTGTGAGTGTAAGTGTCAGAGGTTGTGAGTGTAAGTGTCAGAGGTTGTCAGTGTAAGAGTCAGAGGTTGTGAGTGTAAGTGTCTGAGGTTGTAAGTGTCAGAGGTTGTGAGTGTAAGTGTCTGAGGTTGTAAGTGTCAGAGGTTGTCAGTGTAAGAGTCAGAGGTTGTGAGTGTAAGTGTCTGAGGTTGTAAGTGTCAGAGGTTGTGAGTGTAAGTGTCTGAGGTTGTAAGTGTCTGAGGTTGTAAGTGTCAGAGGTTGTGAGTGTAAGTGTGTGAGGTTGTAAGTGTCTGAGGTTGTAGTGTAAGTGCAGAAGGTTATGAGTGTCTGAGGTTGTGAGTGTAAGTGTCTGAGGTTGTGAGTGTAAGTGCCAGAGGTTGTGAGTGTAAGTGTCTGTGAGGTTGTAAGTATACAGGGTTGTGAGTATGAAAGTGTCTGGGGTTGTGAGTGTAAGTGCCAGGGTTGTGAGTGTGTAAGTGTCAGAGGTTGTAAGTGTCTGAGGTTGTGAAAGTGTCAGAGTTGTGACTGTAATGTCAGAGGTTGTAAGTGTCTGAGTTGTAAGTGTCAGAGGTTGTGAGTGTCAGGAGGTTGTGAGTGTCAGAGGGTTGTAAGTATAAGTGCCAGAGGCTGTGAGTGTCAGAGGTTGTGAGTGCCAGAGGTTGTGATGCCAGAGGTTATGGTGTCAGAGGTTGTGAGTGTCAGAGGTTGGTGTACGTGTCAGGAGTTGTAGTGTAATTGCAAGGTTGTGAGTGTAAGTGCCAGGAGTTGTGAGTGCCAGAGGTTGTGAGTGCCAGAGGTTGTGAGTGCCAGAGGTTGTAAGTGCCAGAGGTTGTGAGTGCCAGAGGTTGTGAGTGCCAGAGGTTGTGGTACCAGGTTGGCAGGTGCCAGAGGTTGTAAGTGCCAGGGTTGTGAGTGTCAGAGGTTGTGAGTGTAAATGTCAGAGGTTGTGAGGTGCCAGAGGTTGTAAGTGTCAGGGTTGGGGAGTGCCAGAGGTTGTAAGTGTCAGAGGTTGTGAGTGTAAATGTCAGAGGTTGTAAGTGCCAGAGGTTGTGAGTGAATGAATCAGTTGTTAAGGGTGCCATTGGTTGAGTATCATTTATGAGTGCCTGGGTGTGAGTGACAATGGTTGTGATGAGTGACCAAGGTTGGGATGAGTGACCATGGTTGTTTTGAGTAACCATGGTTGTGATAAGTGACCATAGTTGTGATGAATGACCATGGTTGTTAGTCCTAAACCGGTTCGGGCGAGAATCGAATGATATTTTCCCAAACCAGAAGCACTAAATTACAACGGAAGGAGGATGGGGGGGATGGACAATCGCAACCAAACTTAACGTAACATAACATAATCATAACATAACTAAAATGAAACATAACCACAGATTACTGGTAGATACGGCAAATTTGGGTCATGTTGTTTCATTTGCCTGTGTTATGTTACGTTACGTTAGGTTACGTTAGGTTATCGTTACAAAATTTCAATTGCTTTTTCTCTTTCTACAACAGCATTTCCGTTCAAGGAGATAAAATTCAACAATACGCGTTAGCCTTTCAATAACATCTCTAAGGTAGTGAGTCGAGATATGTATTGTATGTTTTTTAATGATAAATTCAGACGAAACCTTTTAACGTCACAAACTATATAAGGAACAACGTTGGTAAATGATTCTTCTATGGTAGGTCGAGTGTATCGGGGTCATGGTGGTGGTGTGTGTGTGTGTGTGTGTGTGTGTGTTTGTTTTCATGGTTCACGCCTCTTCTCGTCAACCATATATTAATGAAACACACACACACACACACACACACACACACACACACACACACACACACACACATACAAACGTAGAGACGGATAGAAAACGAGACGAAGAAAGCGTGAGTCAAAGGCTAAGAGTGACAAAGACGATTGACATTGAAAGTGAAACTCGAGTGAACATGAGTGAGGCAGCTTCTCTCACACACACACACACACCCGTACCAAAAAACTTCTCATTTACGTGCTAGAGACTCATAAGGCGTGACTCGACTGACTTCCCAGCCCTATTGACTGATTGACTGACGTTCACACACACACACACACACACACACACACACACACACACACACACACACACACACACACACACACACACACACACACACACACTGTTCACTACAGCCTCTCTCTCTCTCTCTCTCTCTCTCTCTCTCTCTCTCTCTCTCCTATATGGAACTTACGACTCGAAGGATATCTGATATGACTCATCGAAGGACATACACACAGACAATGGCTTTATATCATACAGTATATTATTGTGTGTGACGATGGAACAACTGTGACGGCCTCCCTTGCTCACCTCCGTCACGCCAGGTGTGTTGTTACCAATGTTGTGACACCACCATTGACCCCGTTACTGGGAGGTAGAGGAGGGGTCAAGATGAGGGACAGAGAGGGTGGGGGAGGGGGGGGAGGGAGAGGGAGAGGGTAAAGGAGAAGGAGGTGATGTAATGGGAGGAGAATGGGAGAAGACATACGTAGTGGAGGTGATGGTGAAATTGGGAAGATGAGGAGGTAACAAAGGAAATGATATGAATAGGGAGAGGAGAAGAGAGGGAGAGAGAGAGAGAGAGAGAGAGAGAGAGAGAGAGAGAGAGAGAGAGAGAGAGAGAGAGAGAGAGAGAGAGAGAGAGAGAGAGAGAGAGAGAGAGAGAGAGAGAGAGAGAGAGAGGATGGGGAAGTGATCTGCAGGAAGAAGTAAATACACAGGAAGGATGGGATGGGTGGATGTAAAGGGTAACTGCTGATGGGGGGAGGAGGAAGAGGTGGGAGGAGAAGGAGGAGGCTAGGAAGAAGGAAGAGGAGGAGGAGGAGGAAGAGGGGAGGAGGAGGAAGAGGAGGAGGAGGAGGAGGAAGAGGTACGTATCAGAGTATTGTTGGGTCATCTTAATGGCGCGCTCAAGTAGAGAACTAAGTAAAAAAGGATTAAAATTGAGATGTTAATTAGATGATTTGTTTATTTTTTATCGTAGGGCGTGTGTGTGTGTGTGTGTGTGTGTGTGTGTGTGTGTGTGTGTGTGTGTGTGTGTGTGTGTGTGTGTTGTCTACAGCATCATCTTGGTAGTGTTATAATATGAAGATGAAAAGTATGTACAATTTTAGTATGAGTATAAAGTCTGTATCTATTGTATGTAGTAGGAACGTAAAGTATGTGTACTGTATGTATGTATATCTGTAAAGTACGTGTATTTTTAGTATGAACGTATAGTGTGTATCTGTGTCTGTATCACCGTCAACTATATATTTTAAGTACCATTTTAATATATAATTATTTACACACACACACACACACACACACACACACACACACACACACACACTTTGTTTTTACCTGGAGAAAAAATTGTGATATGAATAACAACTTTACCAGAGGACCAACAGATCATCCAGCTACGAAGGAGGGAAATTTTGACCCTACATGTACAAAACTCCCTCTGGACAATTTCCCCCAAATCTATAACTCCCCATTGGACAAAGCCGGACATAGTATTCTGGCATATTATATTAGGATTAATCCGAACTTTCAATCAAGCGTGAGTCTTTCGCCCCGCTAAGTACAGGTGTCTCCTCCCAGCTGTGGACAGGTGTCAACACACACTAACACGAGATCCAAGCACGATAACCAGTATATGTATAG